CCACCTCCCCTTCAGTTTTTTTACTGCTGTCTATGTTCCCGTTGGGGAGATTCACCCTCCCCGGTTTGTCCTTATGACCGTTATCACTGAAATGTAAAAAAAATCCCAAATTTTGGGTTGCCACCAGAACAGGAATAGATGGGAACACTAGTTCTAGTGACCACCAGGGATTTCCCTCTCTTTGGAGGGATTGCCTCTCACTCCCTGATTGTGGATATCAGACAGGAAGTGAAGGAAAATCTCCCCAATGGGGCTCAGATGGCAAGAAACACCAACCAGGGTTATAACCCTCCCCTACTATTCAAAAGGTTTGGCTTCAGGTCTACTTTACGTTTAGCTAGAATGAGGGGAATGCTGTGAGTTTTTTTACTTGTTTCCCCTTTGGGGAGGTTTCCCAACACTTCCTGTTCCAAGGTGACAATGTTGTTGTCTCTGGGACAGGCCGGTGACATCTCTCCTTCCCACTCTCATTGTCCCCCACACTCATTGTCCCCCACACTATCTATTTGCTTAATTCTCATGAGTGAGACTCCCATTTATTAAATATAAATCTAAAAACAAAAATATAATATATTGCAGCTTACCAGTCCTTGGATGCAGGGGCTGCATTAGTTTTTGTCTTTCCTTTTTTCACCAGTTATCCTGCCAGTAACGTTGTCAGTCCTAGGGTGACAACGCTCACTCACTGTACTGCATCTATGAAGGAGCAGCATTGTCACCATAGGACAAGACTACAACCACCCCTCTCCTTTTCTCCATAAAACCTTGGGGTGAGGAGGGGAACTCTAGTCTGAGCTTGGTTTTAACCTTTTTGGGTGCTGTCCACATGCCTGCCCGTCTGACATGTTTTATGCAATGTGACAATTATAGCTGTGAAGGGGGTGGGGGGGACTACAGATATGATTTTATGATAACCGTCCAAGCTCCCAATATTCCTTCAATTATCTGTGATTGACAATCTATCTTCCGGTGCAGCTGAATCGATTTTTAACTCAAATTCTTCTTTCAGGTATTGGAATGGAGTCGTCCCGGAGAGGTGCAAGCAGCAGTTTAAAGAAGAAGAATGGAACTGCTTTTTTGGCTATAAGATCTACCCGACCCTGAGAAGTACGTAATGCTGAATGATGAGAAATCCATTTAAAGCAGACCTGGGAGTTTTACGGCCTTCAGGCCATATCCAGCCCTTTGCCTGTCCCTGTCTGGCCTGTGGTCTGGCACAGATCCATCGCAAACGGGCGCTCGGTTATGCCTGGCTGCGCTGACACTGGATGCACTGGCCTTGGAGGTCACTAAGTCAAAGCTCAGTGCAGGTTGGCAATCGGTCTGTGTGCGGATCACGGCCTCTTCAGTTGCTGGTTGCTATGGCCACTGGGGTCCTAGCAACCAATTACATCAGGGGTCCTCCTCCTCTGCTGTCATTGGTTACTAGTATCACTAGGTGGTCCTAACAACAACCAAATTACAAATGTCTTCCCACCCCCAGTATTATAGGAGGTTGCCCATAATGCTGGGGTGTCTGTCCTCTCCTGAGCTCCTGATGGTGTCCGTCCTCTCCTGCAGCTCCCACCTGTGGCCTGACAAGAAAAAAAAAGCAGGCATATTATCGGGGGACAATAAGGCTTCATTCAGGGCCCTTTCACACCTAGAACATGTGTTAGTTGCACGGTTACAAATCCAATCATGCCTGTGGCTGTAAAGTCTTGCAATGCCTCATTGGAGTTGTAGTTTCCACAACAGCTGGAGCGCCGAGGTTACCTACCCCTGGCTTAAAGTCTAAGTGCACTAAGTGTTTAACGCAGGGGTAGGCATGAAACTACAAATCACATAATGCCTCTGGGATTCATACCTGTGGCTGCCAGTCTTACAGTGCCTCATGGGACTTGTTGCGCTGAAATGCCTACACCTAGCCAAAAGGACAACTTCTTTATTTTTTTGTTTGTTTGTTTTTTGGAGATGGTCATTTTGACCCTATTAAATATTAGAAAATTGAAGGAACTTTACAAAAATCTAAGTTTTCCGATCTCGCCTGATGGCCAGAGCTGAGAGCAGGCTTTTGTAACCAGCCATAGTGGATGTGTTAAGCCAGGTCAGTAGGTCTGATGGTAATTATTTTGGTCTATTTTTGATTCCTGATTGATTGATTGATAGGGGAGGGGCCTGATTGATGAGGGGGTCATGTGTTGGTGGCCCAGACTGGGTTACAGATGCGCGCTCAGGTTGAGACGGAGTAGCGATTTATATGGCGTCCAGCTGCTGGACATCTGCACCAAAGTCATGTGTAACGTCTATTTCTGTCCGTCTTTCAACTTTGGGCTCTGTTAAATATATCTCTTTTATGTGACAAGGAGGAAGGGGCGCACGTGTTTATTACCTACATACAAAAGTGGTTTAAAATAGAACAGATACGAGCTGCCGTCCAGATCCTCTTTTATTGGTGTATTTGAAGAAAACAAACAGGAAAATATTGGATTGCTCAATTGCTAACGAGCAAAAGATGCTCGTGGAAGGGGCCGTGCGCTACAAAGACGACCCATTCCCTGACGTTTGGCCAGGCTTAATAGCAGAAGGGAGATTGCTCAAGGATATATCCAGACATTACCCAGATTTACCAATGTATACCCTTTTATATTGTGTCCGGGCATTATTATTTTTCTTTTAACTTGCTCTTGTAGTGAGAAAGAACACTTATTTCTCCTATTGACGTCATCACCAGGCTTGTAAAATGTTTTTAAGGTTCGCTAAGGAGCTCAGTTCCTAATGATGAAGGCAAACCTCTCCTGGGTTTGCACACCTGCTGTGCCCATTTTGAGGGGTTCCTGGGTCTGTACACCTGCTGTGCCCATTGAGGGGCTCCCACCATCCCTATGCTGAGTTCCCGGGTCTGTACACATTATAAGGGGCTCTCACTATTCCTGTGCTGAGTTCCTCGGTGTGCATACCTACTCTGCCCATCATAATGGTTCCCACCATCTTTACACTGAGGTCCTGGGTCTGTACACTTGCTATTTGCGTTATGAGGGGTTCCCACCATTCCTGTGCTGAGTTCTGAAGGCTAAAATTTGGCCCTGAGATACAATTTAAAGGCAAGCATACCTTAAATGTATATAAACTGTCACCTATGGAGAACGCTCATCTTACACTTTTGTTTTTCTCTCCATTGCAGGTCCAGTGTTTGTGGTCCAGTGGTTGTTTGATGAGGCACAGTTGACAGTGGATAATGTACATTTGAGTGGGCAGCCAGTACAGGAGAACCAATGGAATTATATTCAAAATTTAGGTCGCGAGCTGAGGAACACTCTGAAGGATGTTGGGTATGTATTGGGCTGGTTAAGTACTGCAATTATATACTATGTACTATACTATGTGAGTCCTCACTCTTCTCACTCTTTACCAATAGGGCGAGCTTTGCTCCTGCGTGTCTGGCTCATGAGATTATTACACGTAGGTAAGTGCCAAACCTCATTTTACTTCTAGGCGGTATATAAACCGATCATAAAATATAACCCTAGTGCAAGATAAAGCATATCTTTACCCAAGAGGCCAAGAACATACATGGAATATATTGCAGCCTACTGATCTCGCATTAGTTTTCTTTATTTCAGGATTTTTTCTTCTTTATTTGCTCTGCCAGTAACACACTTGCTGTGACAACGCTCACTCACTGTTCTCTATCTGTGTGGGAGCAGTGTTGTCACCCTGGCACAGAAAGTGTTGTAGGACTGCATCAAGGATATTTCAGATAGTCAAAATATTATTCTCCTATTCCCTCTCTAACTCCCTATGTATGATGTGTGGTTTTTTTATTTTCTTTCTGTACTTCCTTATGACATCATTACTTTTATTTTATTTATTTTAGCATCTCTGTCCCTATTATTCTATTGCATTTTCATCACCCACTTTCCCATACTGAGAACCATAATTTTAATTTTGAGTCCCCCATACTGAGAACTAGGGATGAGCTGAAGTTTGGACCGAACCTGGTCTAAACCTGAGGTCCTCCAAACCCGAAAGAGCCCCCACAAATTGAGCTCCTCCGAGCCTGGAAGGAGGTCATCAAACCCAGTCCATATATGAGTTCCTACCAAACACGGAAGTAAGCTCCGTCCATGCTGCCCAATCAGCTGCTGGTCAGAAATTGCCCACTCCCAGCTTGACGCAAGCAAATGGGCGGGATGCAGGAACATCATTGCCCTTGTATGGCTACGTAGCCATTTTAAGTAAATGTAATTTACCAAATATAGGTATGTGGCCATATAAGGTCAATTATGTCAGCACAAGCATCCCGCCCCTTTGTTTACATGCAGCTGCAGGTTGGAAAATACCCATTGGTATTGGGTGGAAGTGCCCATAGCCCTTCCTTGTTCGGAGGAGCTCAGGTTCAGTCAGAATTCTTTCAGAACCTGAGCTCATCCCTGCTGAGAACCATCACCAAAAATCTGAGACTTCTATTTCGAGTACTAAGACGTGCCTAGAAGAGGCATTTCTTGGATCAGAGGAGCTCTAGTTCAGACCGGGTTCAGTCCAAACCTGAGCTCAGCCCTACTGTGAACATTACCAAAAATCGGAGATCAATATTTTGAGTCATCTCCTAGAGAATAAATGCCTAGAAAAGCCGCTTCTTGTATCAAAGGAGCTTTGGTTCAGAATTGGTTCAGTCCGAACCCAAGCTCATCCCTTCTGCGAGTCATAACCAAAAACCTGAGACCTATAGTTTGAGTCCCCCTTCTGTAGAAGAGGCATTGCAGATAGCACCCGTCATCCTATACTGCCCTCACAAAGCTGAGGGGTGGAAACAAGATAAAAAAATTGAATAAGTACGATGCTGGTGAAGTTCCTATACTTATGGAGACTGCACCAGAAGATGAAACAAACAGGAACATTCCACACAAGAATTGTGAAGGGTCCATGTCCTGTTTGGTCCATTGTCAGACTGACCTTCCCACAGTTTCTTTGCACACCTGACCCATTGTCTGTGTGTGTTGGGTGGTCCATATGGCTCTTGCTTTGTGTTGGGTTTAACTGTACTCTGTGTACATTGTATTCCTCATCCATACAATTGCCCCCATTCTTTGCATACAGGGTGTTTACAGAGCCACCTATGTTCAAATTTGGGATCTGATGGGCAAAGAACTTCCCAAAACAAAGCCGGGAATTACCACTGAAGGAAAGTGTCCTCCAATTTACTGGACAGATAATACACAGCTGCTTCTGATTTGAATCCCTATAGGTCAAACCATGCTGGTTTATTTAATGGTTGTAAAAGCCGAACTCCAGTCATGGAGGGAGTGCAATATTGTAAATGTGTGATTTATATATGCCGGTGGAGGCAAAAACATTTACAAGCCCAACCAAAAACTTTTTTTTCTAGTTTTGGATAGAGCGGGTAAGGATTACAATTCTTGCCTGTTTTGTTTTTTCTTTTATTGCTATATGGGGCTCCGTTAGAGAGAATTCCCCTCACTTCTGCCCTGGTGAAAGAAAATCTGTAACAGACACAGAAGGGAATTAGTTCTAGCCTTCCCCCACTCTACAAAAAACCGTATTTATTTGTTGAGATTTTTTACCTCCTTTTTGGAGTAGTGCTTTTATACACTCTAAAATACATTATGCCATTTGCATTTAATTACTATTAGGTTATTCAATGATCAGGAATTCATTCACCAGCAGAGGGCGCTGCTGTATAATACAACACTGCATAGCAACCCTGCAGTTAGACCAGTGGTGGTCAACTTGGTAAATATAAGGGGCATCAAGTGTGGCCCCCAACATGTTCATAGGGACGCACAATAGTAGAGCTTTCCATTAATTTGTGTTGCATTACTGCAACATATGGTATTATGTGCACTGCTGTACATGCATTGCAGTGCCATTTAGTTTTGAATGACACCCCAAGTCACTGTTTAAAGTAGCGGGCAATGAACCCGAACCGCAGCACACCACAATGCCCATGCTGTATGTAGAAGAAAAAGAAAAGCCATGTCCCATTTTGAATGTGTTGCGGTGCACTAAAATTTTGAGTGCCCTTACACTTGCATGCAAATACCACCCAGATCATCCAAAGTATTCAGTGACCCTATTACATTTATTAATCCTTTTTTTTTTTTCTTTTTTTCCCCCTTCGTGGGAGTGCTGCATCTGGTCATTGGAGACCTGCTCCAGATCACCTATGTATCATGCAGCAGCATGGAGCTGCTTCAGCTCTTCCCAAGCCTCCATTCTAACCAGTGTCGACATTTCACTGTAAATGCAGGATGCATGAATTGTTCCACATTGTGTTTTTACATTGCCTGCTTCCAGCACTCCTATGGAGCGCATGGTGGCAGCAGCAGAAGCCCAGGGGTTGGTGGATTCAGGTCCTAGGTTTAGGCTGGACCGTGACAGCCCGATAAAGTCCATCGGAGCCACTGTTATTCAGTGTGCAGCCTGCTGTGCTCCAGACCCAACTGAAATTAGGCTGCATTTGGCCCACAGGCTGCTTGTTGGACACCAAGGAGTTAGACCTTGCTATTGCAACACATAATGTACCAAATGAATGGCCGCTAGCCTATGTATCATTAGGTGATTGCGCCCTCTGTTGGCCATTGTTCAAAATGGTGCATCAGGTTGCAGCCTTGCTCAAATTAAAGCCATGTCGGTCCACCAGTGCAAACCAAATTATGTAAAAGGTTCAATTAGTTGTTTTTTGTTTTTTTAACGATGATAATGTCTATACCAGTCGTTCTCAATCTCTTTACTCGCAAGGAATCCTTGAAAGGTTTGAGATCTTGGGAAAAGCCCTAAAATTCTTATCTACAGCTCATGGGACATTAATGTGATTAGTGAGTTGCAGATATAACACATTTAGTGTAATATATGATTATAAGCTCATTAGTCTTAAGAACACAACTGTAATCCATCAATAACAAAGTGTATTCAAATAAACTTTTTTTCAAAGCTAAACTCCGGGATCAGCAAATATCATCCTCCTACAGAGTCCTGTGTATTCTTCATTGAAGCTTGGTGTCCTTTGAGTATTCCTTTGAGACCTGTGCAGTAATCCAATGTGAAACTTGGAGCTTCCTGTAATAAAGACCGGTCACTGCTGCTCTCTCTCCTTGTGCAGGGTGACTGGTCATGCCACTGTGGATCTAAATCTCGTACAACAGTGGATTGTGGTGGACCCCCCCCCCGAGGACTTCTCGCTGAAGCCTAGGGTGCTGCAGAACCCGGTTTAAAAACCTTGATCAATACCAGGGATAGCAGCCTTGGCGCTCCAGCTGTGGTGAAAACTAAAAATCCCATCATGTCTTTTGGAGTCAGAGCATTGCAATCCTGGAGTGCCGAGGTTGCCCACCCCTGGGCTATACATATTATGATACATGCGGTCTAATTATAGTAGTACAGGCAGTGGACACAGATTGTATATCATAGCCGCATGTCTTTGAATGTTTCTGCTGGTGGACTGCGAGTCTTGGGTAATAAAAGATGAAGGTTCTAACGAGCCATAGTTGCACAGGGTAAAAAAAAAAAGACTTCAATCTATAGAGATCTAACAATTAAAAAATCAATACAGAAAATGTTTTGTCTTTACATTTTCATATATTCCAGTGAACCAAGAAAACCAATTCCTAAAAACCTGCATACTATTTTGCCTTTTAAAGGTGTGCGTTGTGGACACACCCAAAGAAAGGTGATTATTTCATTTATAGCTGGAGCCTGGGAAATGGGAAGGGGAATTGTCCTGTGATATTCTCTATAATATAAAAAAAATTCAGCAGGGAAGCCCTCATAATAGGCACAGCAGGTGTAAAGACCCACAAACTCAGTTCAATGATGGTTGGAACCCGTCATAATGGGCACAGCAGGTATATAGATCCGGGAACTTGGCACAGGGATGGTGGGAACCCCTCATAATGGGCACAACAGGTGTATAGACCTGGAGACTCGGCACAGGGATGGTGGGAGCCCCCTCGTAATAGGTACAGTGGGTGTGCAGACCTGGGAACTCGGCACTGGGATGGTGGGAACCCCTCATAATGGGCACAGCAGGTGTATAGACCTGGAGACTCGGCACAGGGATGGTGGGAGCCCCTCGTAATAGGTACAGTGGGTGTGCAGACCTGGGAACACGGCACTGGGATGGTGGGAACCCCTCATAATGGGCACAGCAGGTGTGCAGACTTGAGAACTCAGCGCAGATATGGTGGAAACCCCTCATATTGGGTCCAGCAGGTGTGCAGACACGAGAACTTGGTGCAGGGATAGTGGGAACCCCTCATATTGAGCCCAGCAGGCGTAGAGACCGGGGAACCCAACATGGAGAACTCGCAAATAGCGTTCCCAAGAGACCAAAGAAATTGTCAGGGGTTGTAACTCTCTAGCATCCAAAAATAGAATGAGGTTTGATGGGATAGAATGAGGTTTATTATGATCCTCTTTTTAAAAGAGAACAATTCCTCCATAACTGTTACATGGTAATCTAATAAATCCATGGAAGAACATCATTTTAAATTTTATATGAAGCCAGTTTTTTTTTCCTGTTTTGGATAGAGAATGGAAGGGTTGAAAATCTTCCCGGTTTTTCTTTCCTCTCTGTATCCCATAAGTGGGAGATTCTGCATTCTACCTCCTAGTGGGCAGCACAGTGGCGTAGTGGTTCAGTGGCGTAGTGGTTAGCACTTCTGCCTTGCAGCACTGGGGGTCCCCGGTTTGAATCCCGTGCCAGGGTCACTATCTGCAAAAGAGTTTGCATGTTCGCCTGTGCTTGCGTGGGTTTCATCCGGGTACTCCGGTTTCCTCCCACACTCCAAAGACATGCTGGTAGGTTAATTGGCTCCTCTCTAAGTTGGCCCTCTATGTATGCATGTGAGATAGGGACCTTAGATTGTAAGCTCATTGAGGGTAGGGACTGATGTGAATGTGCAACTATGTAAAGTTGTCTAAATTTGTCGGCGCTATATAAATACCTGTGATAAATAGTGCATTGTCTCTGGGACCAACAGTGCCAGAAAACCTAGAAATGTGAGTCCCCAGAAAAGGAAAATGGTGGAAACCAGTTTGGATACCTGTTCTTGTGACATCTGTCTTTGGAGAGATTGCCTCAATTCCTGTTGTGGTAGATAAGGAAGTCACCGGCACTCAACCAACCAGTTTTCATTGACGTTGGAAGGTTACATCAGTGTTCCTGTTGTGTCTCAATATAGGAAGTGAAGGAACGTATCCCCTGTGTGACAAATGTTTTACCATTTCTTTCTCAATCCAAAACTCAAAGTTTGGCTTTAGAAACTTGAATTGTTTATTAGTGATTTGTGGTTTTAAGAAGCCTTTCCAAATGTAATGACCGTGCTGTTGATCTTTATTTTCAGTCACTGGACAGAAGTTCAGGTTCGTGGCACCTCTCTCCCCCGCGCTCTGCACTGTTGGGACCGCAGCCTACAAGAAAACAACAAGAACAGCAAGACTCCGTTAAAGGGTTGCCCCTTCCACCTCATGGACAGCTGCCCCTGGCCACAGTGTAACCCCACCTGCCCCTCCATCCGGGACCACTACACGGGTCAGGAGATGAGTGTGGTCCAGTTCCTCATGCACCTCGGATTTGATGTTCAGAAAATGGCCAGTCAGCAAGGCATGGAGCCGGGAAAGCTGCTGGGAGTGCTGAGCAGCTAGTCGGGGGCAAGAGGGCCATTATTCAGAGGGAGGGGGGTATATTTATGGGAGGGGTCCTTTTTAACAGGAAGTGTAAGAGTGACTTAAAGGGCCGGTAAACCTACTTTACAATTTTTGTGTGTGTCTACATGTTTAAGAGCTTATCAGAAGATTGAGAAAATTTTTTGGCTTGGACTTCTTGACGAGCCTGCCTATCTTAGCCTGAAATTGTGGACTGAGCAATAGGGCTGGTTCTTAACAGATGCATTGGGCTCAGGTCCATTGCAGCGTACTGCTGGTGTTAATGGGCCCCCAAAAGAGCACACACAAAACCCAATCGCCTCAATTCATCAAGCTTTAGGATAAGGATCCTTAATTTTAACTCCTTTTTTGTTTTAAGCTAAAAATAACTGTCCCTCCCATTTTTTTTTAAAGAAGTATCCTTATCCTTGTGTGTTTTAGATTTGGGAATTAATCCTAATGACCAATATCTCAACAAATGGACACATAGGTAAACTCTCACATAGTTGTAGATCTACCCAACTTAAACTTGTATTGTATTTAAGGTTTATCTGCCCTTTTAAAGAAATTGAGGGCTACAGGAATGACAATATCTGATCTTGGCAAGAAAAATTGATTGTGAAAGGAAATGTTAAAGATTCTTATGAGGAAGCGAAGTACTGGGGTCAAAGGTTCATGAGTATGGGGATTATAAAAAGGTCCGTTTCATGGTAAGGCCTCCTTCACACTGTAATCGGCCTGCACGTACAGCTCTGTGCTGCGTGCACGGCCGTACCGAGCTGCTCCCGGGAAGGACAGGTGCTGTGTGTGATTTAGTACGCAGCCCCCGCCCTTCTCTATGGGACTAAGCGGCCGTAGGCCACCCTACGCTCACCCGCCCTGCACTTAGGTGCTGGTGAGCGTACTCGTACGCTGACGGGATGGAGCCTGTCTGCGTCCGAGCCAGGAAACGCTCACCCCTACGGACCTGCACTTGAGGTGAGCATAGGGGGCGTACAGCCGCGTAGTCCCATAGAGAAGGACAGGGGCTGCGTACTAATCACACGCAGGACCTGCTCGGTTCGGCCCTGCATGCAGCACGGAGCTGTACGTGCCGGCCGATTACAGTGTGAATGAGGCCTAAGGGGAATGGGATCCAATTAGCTGAGGTTTTTCCATTTGAGGACAGCAAATGAGAAAAAGTGGTCAGTATTCGGGTCTTATTTGAGGGTTATTTCTCCTCCCATCTCCGCTCTGGTTCTGACCTCCAGAAGCCATGAGACCCAGTTGGCAAATAATTGAATATTTGTTTTAAACCCCCCCCCCCCAACTCCAGCCAATGTGTTTTTTTCATTTATGGATAAAAAAAAGTAGTAGTAAAAAATGTTAGTATTTTTATTTCTGTCTGACTCCATTTCCTGTCCTTGAGATGCCCATACAGGAAATGGAAGTGTGGTTCCCCATTTCACTCGGACAGAGTGAAATGGGGAACTCTGACAGAAAGCTACAGGCAGCTGTAAAAAAAACTTCAGTGTCAAGTTTCTAACCTAGGGGAAGGTAACCTTGGTAATCCAAACTGTTCTGGAACTAGAAGTCCCATGAGGCATTGTAGGACTTGGACAGCCACAAGCAGGAGTCCCAGAAGCATGATGGGATCGGTAATTTCACCACCGCTTGACTGCTGAGGTTGCCTACCCCACATCTAACCCTTCCCTGCTCTGCTAAAAAAATATATATATATTCTTGTCTGTATCCCCATTGGAGACATTTCCTATCACTTCCTGTCCTGGCAGGAAGTGAGGAGAAATTTCCCTAATAGGGACACATTTAGCCAAACTTGAGTGAGGCTGCAACCAATAATTTGGCTGGAGTTGGGCTATAAGGGATAGTAACCCTTTTTTAAAAGAAAGCACAGCAGCTCCATCTCTACCCTACCCTCCTCATCAATAACTTTAATACAACTGTATGCCTGGGGTGATCTTAAAAAAAAATCTATTTTTTTTACTGTACTTCTCCTTCACTGACCCCCCTCCCTGATGAAGATTTTTTTTCTCTGGATGCAGAGTGGCCATGGGGGTTAAATGTAGGCCCATGTGTCAGCTGGATTGCTGGTTTCCCCCATGGCCGCTCCACATCCTCATGCTGATGTAATAGGGAAGATTTGTAGAGAGGAAGGAGACATTGTACCTCCACAGGGAAAAACAAATTTTACCGCCATCTAAAATATAAAACGGTGCTGCAATTTTTGGTGCTGGCGATGGCGGCCGCTGCTGTGTTTTCTTCTCAAACAGAACCAATTAAGAAATTTAAAGAACATGCAACCCATACCAACCAATTGGATTTCAGCCTTCTGTAGTTTGGTTTGGCAATATCAGTGAAACGTTACACCTGATTGGTTGCTTAGGACTGGCTTTTCATTCGCGAGGCACAGGATGCAACCATCTGGACTCCCTCTGCCTTTCTCTAGGGCGTCTTAAATGAAAGAAGGCGTCGGATTGGTTGGCAGCACACATATACGGTACACGCACATGTGCAGTTACTTTTGTACATGATCCTTGCTGCCCTTTTGCCTTGGTAAATACAGGCTTGCATGCGATGACCAGGAGGTACCCTTCTGTATAGTGACTTTTTTTAGTCTGCAAGAACTATAGGGGATACATTTTTAGGTACTTTTTTTTGTAAGATATATTTTTTATAAAACCTAAGCAAACAAACCTCGTTTGTGGGGGAGCCGTGTTATTTATTGGAGTTTGTAAATCCTATTTATGAATGAGGGCAGGAGAGCTGCCCCGTGTACAGTTGTAAATAGAACCTGCATGTCCTGTATCATGGAAACTATTCCCTCAAATAAAAAAGGAGAACTTTCCATCCTGTGTGTCTTGTATTCTTTGACTTTTTTCTTTTTGTTAGAATACACATTATTCTGTTTTTATAGCAACAACTTCTGCAGTATACAATTCCGGTCACTAGATGGCAGCGTTTATAAGTTCTGTTATATCTATGGTATATACTCTGTTGTATTGAATAATGTAGAGAATTAAAGGTGCGGTTTCCTTCCTGTTTTATCCAAGCCATGTGCAGCATGCATATCAGACTGTGTGCTTGTGTTTCTCTGTGAGGCGGTGCAAGAAGTTCCAACACTTTTTATTAAAGAGATCCAGTCACAAAGGAGTTTATGCAAAAGTGTCAATATTCTCAAAGCAGAATGACAGGCAGAATGTCGAAATGTTTAAATACACATAGGTGAACAATCGTATATGTCAAAGTATTGGCAATCTGTTCAGCCACATTTGTAGTTCACGTGCCTCTGCCAGAGGCTGACACCACTCTATTCCTTAACTTACAGAGAAGTGGTGTCACCCTCCTGGCTGTGCTGCCTGGCAGAGATGTGGTTAGGGTGCACGTCTCGTGTCTGAAAAGCGTAGAGGTACCCAATCCACATCTGAAAAGATATCTGGGTGCCTGACCTACTATATATCTAAAAAGGGTCAGGGTACTCAAGTCACGTCTGAAAAGGGCTCAAGAGATGGGCTAGCCAGACTACGTCTAACCATTGATTTGCCCATTAGGACATCTTGCACAGAGACTGAACAATGTTCAATCACTAACTGCTATTTGGTTTTTTAACCCTAGAATGTATACAAATTAATTTTCTGATACACCTATTCGGAAACTTTTATTATTGAACCATTGTAGGAACTATTGGTAATATCTGAGCAGTGTGGGTTATCTACGGCAACAGCACAGTTGTTTCAATCAGACACTCTGTCTCTGATTGAAACCTCCAAACTGCACCATATGGAGGGAGAAGGCAGCAAAGGTGTCACTACTCTGATTCATGAATCCTAAAATCTTTCATCCTTAAAGTGGAAGTAAAATGTGCACAGTCTGCCAAGACTGTGCACAGAGCTGCGTGTGCATGGCTCATTGTGGAGAAACAAACAAAACAAAAAATGCTGACAGACATGAGAAAGGTGGTGCCTGTCAGCATTTTTTGTTTTGTTTGTTTCTGCACAATGAGCCATGCACACGCAGCTCTGTGCACAGTCTTGGCAGAATTCCTCGCCGAGACAAAGTAACTCCTGTACGCATGTGCGGGAGTTCTCATTTGGCCCCTGGCCAATCAAGCAGCCAAAGACATCAAACCGAGAAGACTAGGACGGAGATGAAAGTGTCGGCGTGGGAGGAGAACTCTGACGTCACAGCGCTAGAGTAGGTCGCATTGGCAGGTAAGCCTGCCATAATGTGCGGTGCATACTGGCACAATGTGGCTAAAAGCTCCGGGGGAGCGTTTTTATACACTTCCGATTTAAGGGCCCATTCAGACTACTGTGTTGCGGTAACGCATGTTACTACAGGGCATCGCTCAATGGTCATTCATTGTGAACCGTGCAGTAGTGGCCAACACCTGCGTTGTTGCTGTGGCAAGAAAAAAAAAAAAGTCACTTGGCCATCATGTTTTTTACGTGTGGGAGGAAACCCATGAAAGGACAGGGAGAAAATGCAGACTCCATGCAGATAAGAGTTCTGACTGAGATTTGAACTGGGGACCCCCCAGTGCTGCTAACCACTGAGCCACCATGCAATACATGCCTACATATTTATTACAGGTGTCTATGCATCACCATCAATTTACACAGTGCTTTACATACGGTACAATCACATGGGTCGCTGCCATAAAGCAGCTTACAATCTAAGGTCCCTATCTCACATACTAGGGCCAATTTAGACGGGAGCCAATGAACCTTCCTGTTGATGTATAGACACTTTGATACAAAGTGGCTCCAGGATTAGGAAGTTCATGCCATTCCTTTATATCTAAAACGCACTTTGGAGTAGAAAGAGAGCACACCTCCCCTTTCTTCCTTCTGATGTCTTCTTTTTTCCTTTCTCTATCCTCTGGATCTCCAATGCCGTTTGGAGTATATTAGATTTTTGTTCAGAATCCCTCGTTTATACAATTTTTATATATTATATATGCACGATTTTATTTATATTCTTAGTAGACGTGGTTTTATAAGGATTTTTTGTACACTGGTTTGTAGCCTCGGCTGTTTAAACAAGTGATTAGCACCACTGAATGCCAGACGTTATTAATTCACTCGTTCAAACCACACTTTATATATTTTTACGCATTCATCCTTTTACAGTATAACTCTCTTTATACGACAACACACATATATATACATCTATCCAATTTTTTACACTCAGGATCACTCATTACTTATTTAAATCACACATTGCATTCAAACATATAACTGACACAAGGTTCTGACCACTGGCACCGTATTAAGTTATTACGTGTATTAAGTTTACTAAGTTGACGATGTTTGAGAACTTCACATGTTACACATTTTTAGATAATAAGTGAACCACACACAACCAAGCGCAGCACATCGGCCCACATTTAACCTTCCAGCATGTCTTTGGGGTATGGGAGGAAACCGAAGTACCTGGACGACGCCCCTGCAAGAACAGGGAGAACATGCAAACTGAAGTGTCTTCACCGGGATTCGAACCGGGGACCCCCAGTGCTGAAAGTGTTAATGGCTAAGCCACTGTGCTGCCATGTAATACATACCGTACCTATATAGAAAACATTTCACATATCAGTACTCCACCTGCGATTCAGAAAAGGATGCCCTCCCAAAAAAAAAATATATATATATATATAGTGCAATATATAGTGCAATATAAATGGGTAAGCCGTATTAGTCCAGGAGACAAGATGTCAAAAAAGACAAAAATGCAGTGTGTAATGTGTAATATATATATATATATACAAATACAATTAGGGCTGTTACTGATTAAAATTTTCGTGTTCGATTAATCGAAAAAAAATGTAATCGATTAATTATAATGCACATATAGATCCAACTACATTGGCCTATACACATACAGCACAGCAATGAAGTAATAAAATGAACTAGGATCACACTAATCCAGCACGTTATTATTCTCACGTGCCCCACTCAATATGGCCGCCGCATGAGTGGGGCAATTAAGAATAATAACGTGCTGGATTAGTGTGATCCTAGTTCATTTTATTACTTCATTGCTGTGCTGTATGTGTATAGGCCAATGCCTTGGCTGGCGCTCGTGCAGAAAGTTTCTTGGTCAAACTCACCGGCCGTTAGCCGATGAAGTCACTTGGGGAAGGAGGGAGGAGTCCGGTGACGGCGATGTCCGTGACGTCACCGGATCTCCGATGGGACTCCCGGAAGCCGAGTATTTAAAAATAAAATACTACCGAGTATTTAAAAATAAAAAACAAAAAGATTACCGATTAATCGAGAAATGAATCGTTAATTTGCACAGCCCTAATAATATAAATATATATATGTTTACATTTCTCCGGTCCAAAATTCCTGAAATTCTCTTCCACCCAAAATTATCCAGAGCCGTGCCATCTCTGATGTGACGCTTGTTTTGGATTCTGCCCCCTGGTAATCCTCTGTGTTCTAGTTTGTGACAGTCTGAGATCATTATCCCACTTGAAGTATTTGAGAGCTGTGACAGGTGGACTTTATGGAATGTGCTTGTCTGTAAGGGAAACCATCTCAACCTCTCGAAGGGCCTGTTCTGAACTTCGTCCAACACTATAAATACTGCCTCCTATTTATACACAGAATATGCTCGGAGGATCTCTGCGCTGTCATACAGTCATTCTGGAGGTGACCAGCACAGTGACGGACACGGACTGGTAGAGGAGCCCGGAGACCAGGAACCTCATCAGTTCTGCAGCCAAAGATGGACCATTCAGGAGGACCTTATCTGAATGTCCAGGCCGTGTGGTCCAAAGTAGGGATGGTCCGCTTGCTCCAGCTGTTGCTCGGATGCACCACCTTCAGCCTGGTCCTCCACCGTGCTGGGTTCAGCGCAGCCTATGGAACCTTCTGTGTCTTCGTGTGGTGCTTCTGTTTTGCGGTCACCACCCTCATCGTCATCTGCGACTTCACCCGGCTGCAGTCCTGCCTCCGCAACCTCTCCTGGGGGAACTTCACCGCTGCCTTTGCCATGCTGGCTTCCCTCATGACCCTCACGGCCTGCGTCATCTACCCGCTCTACTTCGTCACTTTGAACTGTTCGTCCGCTGAATGCGTCACCAGGAACCACCGGCTGGGGGTCAGCATCTGCGCTGGGTTTTTGTTCCTGGTCTACGCCACAGAAGTGTTCTTGACCCGCGCCAAGCCCGGCATGCCCTGCAGCTACATGGCGACGGCGGCGGGGCTCCTAAAGGTGGTCCAGGCCTTCGTGGCTTGCGTGATATTCGGAGCTCTGGCCACGGAAAGCCAGTACAAGAGGTACGTGGCCACTCAGTGGTGCGTGGCCGTGTATAGTTTTTGCTTTGTGTTGACCGTGGTGGTGATCGTCCTCAACATCACCGGACGGGCGGCGACGCTGCGCTGCCCCTTTGAACGCTTCGTGGTGATCTATACGGTGATTGCGATACTGATGTACATGAGCGCTTCTGTTATATGGCCCGTTTTCTGCTTCGACACAAAATACGGGTCGCCGACCAGACCACAGCGATGTTACTGGGGAAGGTGCCCATGGGACAGCCAACTGGTGGTCACCATTTTCACCCACATCAACCTGGCGTTGTACATAGCGGACTTGGTGTACACGCAAAGACTGAGATTTGTGGCTCAGCGCTAAGGTCAGGGTGCGGCATGTACAGAGGACTTGGGGACCACAGGAGATACTTATTTAAAGGTTGTGCAATCATTCGGATTTATTAGACTTGGTGATGTTATTATTACTTTTATCTGCTTTATTATCTGTTATTCTGTTGTTGACTTTGACTTGAGAATGTAAAGATAGAAATAAAAAGGATTATTTTTTTCTATAATTTGCTACTTCCTGGGTGAGAGGATACATTTGGCACAGCTGGGCTATTTTCAGCTGCCCATTTCTGAAGCTGGCTTTAGCTGACCTGTATAGATTAAAGGGTTTCATTTATAAAAGTTTTACCAGGGTTTACTTAGCACTGGCACCCATAGGAAATTCCTATAACTTTTATAAATTAACCCCAAAATTTATGAACTGTATGTATAGTCAAATGTTTCTTTATGTTTGGGATAGAGTAAGGAGTGGTTGGAACTTCTTGTGGTTCATTTTTTCCCCATCTGTTTGTCATTGAGGGGGATTTCCTTTCACTTACAGTCCTGTACCCAGATAGCAAGCAATTGAGCTGCAAGTTTGAAAATGACTTGCCAAATTATTGCTAGACTTGCCAAGCTTCACATATTTGTTGCACAGTTACAGCAAGTCTGCATTGCAAGTCTCCAGATCAACGTGCTTTGTAAATAGGGTTGCCACCTTTTCTTCAAGTGAAACCCAAACACTTTAGTGCTACATGCAGCAATGTTCAGGTGGCTGTGCTGACTCTAAAGTGGGCTGTGCGGACTCTAAGGTGGGCTGTGCGGACTCTAAGGTGGGCTATGCGGGCTCTCAGGTGGACTATGCGGGTTCTCAGGTGGGCTATGCAAGCTCTCAGGTGGACTATGCGGGCTCTCAGGTGGCTTTGTAGTGTCTCAGGTGGGCTATGTAGGCTCTCAGGTGGACGATGCGGGCTCTCAGGTGGCTGTGTAGGGTCTCAGGTGGGCTATGCAGGCTTTCAGGAGTGCTGTGTGGGCTTTGCGGTGTCTCACCAGGGGTCCAGGGGTGGGCAGCATGGTGTCAGGAACACAGAGATATTTACAGGCACCTGCGTCTTACAGGAAGGCTGCCAAGGTCCGCAGCAAGCATAGGACCTCAGGTAGCCGCATCTGGCAAAAAATGTAAAGTTCCGGCACTTAGTGTCTTGTGTCCGGGTGTCAGCTGGCCTGAAACCTGGACACAGGACTCAAAAACTGGGCTGTCCAGGTGGCAAACCTATTTGCAAAAGTGCTGTACACTTGCAGAGCTCTTGCTAAGACCTGCAGGACTCTTGCTGTAGACTTGCCGAGCAAATTTGCTACAAATTCAAAAAGTGTCAACTAGAACTTGTGCTGCGAATGTTCTGCAACTTGCCAGGAATGTGTGCAGCAAGTTAGAAATAATTACAATTTAGCCTTGCCACAAGTTTGTGGCAAGTTAATCCTTCCTCTCTGGGTAGACGCAACAAGAAGTGATAGGAAATCAGTATAAAGCAAGGGGAATTTCAGTTGTCACCAGAAAAGGCATCCCCACTGGAAGATTTTTTCTCCTTTCCTGTTCTAGTGACAACTATAAGGTCTTGGATTTCTCATGATGAGGTCAGAGTGCCTTTGAGCAGCAGAACACCAAAGAAAAGGGACAATGAGGGACCGGTCACAGGAGGAGAAGAGAGGAGGTATAAGGAAAGAAAGCTGCTTTTTACTGCTACCCTAGACAAAAATTGAGCATTTAACCCTTGCAGTTTGGAGGCGGCACACTGCAAAGGCAGTATTGAATTTTCCCCGGAGCTCAGCTTTAATCTAGCTTTAATTTAACACTAAAGCTGAAGGAGGAAGGAACAAATAGGGGCATATTTCTAAAGCCGTGAATGAGACTTTCACCAAACATTCACTGAACGGTGAATCAATAACTGTCATTTACAACATATGCAAGGTTCACCTGCAGTGAATGTCTGGTGAAACTGTCTTTAAATATGTCCCTTAAAGTGGATTTTTTGTTTTTATTTTTGGAAAGAGTAGCGAGGGATCAGAAAAGGGTAGGCAACCCCGGCAGCTGTTGATGAACTACAAGTCCCATAAGGCCTTGCAAGACTCTGGCAGGCACCAGAATAACTCCCAGATGCGGAGGCATGATTGGATTTGTATTTTTACCACAGCTGGAGTGCTGAGGTTGTACACACTGGGGAGATTCACCCTTTGTCCTGGTGACCTCTGTCATGGGGCAGAGAATGAGAGGAACCCCAACCTTTAAGAGTTGTTACCAGGGCAAGAGGTGAGGGAAAATCCTCCAATGGTAACAACTGTTCTAGTGACAACGTTTTTGGGAATTCTGTTCAGTTTAGAGTGATTGCCTTATTTCCTGTTGTGTCGCCAAGACAGGAAGTGAAGCGAATCTCTCCAGGGGGACACAGGCAGCAAATAAATTGATAGGGGTTTCACTCCATCTACATTATCTAATACTCTAGTATATTTCAAAAGGATTTGATGGGCCAGTTGTCCTCCCATAGGGATGTACAGCCGGCTGCACGCAATTACATGCCGCACTTGTCCCTCCCTGGAGCAGGACTCTGCATGGGTGTGCATGCCGTACGGATGTGCACCCCTGTGAATAAGCCCTAAACAGCCAATCGTCCAAGTGCTATTCAACAACATTTACCAGCCAGCTTCTGCCTGCATTTGCTCTATGTATAATGCAAATAGGTAAAAGGGCAAAGCTCGCCAAATCACATGTTGGCCAATCACATATCCACCAGATTCCTGAAATATAATACATCGCATTCCATGGTTTTGCATAATAAAGCAAGACTCCTCTGCACACTGTTGTCACCCAGCAGATGCCAGCCACACACTAAAAATGGAGCATTTTAGCGTACGGTTGCTGTGAATGAGCTCCTGAATGTCAAATACCTGCCGGGCATCAGCCTTGCCTCGGAGTTTAAACATAAGGGCCACCTAAGTACATATCATCCTCTCTTACAGGGAGACTTCATTTTATTATTATTATTCAGGCTTTATATAGCGCCAGGGTCATTCTAAGCTACTTCTGGGTTCTGTGTGTCTGTGGGCGTTTGTCACCGTCATCAAAACCTGTAAAAAGTTCAACAGTTTCAAAGTGACAAACAACAAATATCTGAGCACGGCAAAACTAAAAAGAACTGATTTTAGGAAGATGAAAGTGGCGAAGCAAAGTCATCAGTTTTATCTTCTACACAGCTGCCTGTGAGAAATGCTAAAATGACTAATACTGCAGATATGGTGGTCAAAGGTCAGTATCAAATTATCTGTATTGTAAAACAGTTTCCATCATGAAAAAAAGTCTTCATCAGTTTTTATCAGTCAGACCGCACTGAGCCTCGCGTATTAAAGATATGCTGAGTTAAAGTGTTATTACTGCCTATAGCAGCCAAACAAACAGACAGCGACTTGTCCTCGTGTATTACCGTTTATTAATCAATGAACATACAAGCTGACATAAAATACTACTCGCATGGTAATCACTGAATGAATGGTACATGGCAGACGCCACACAAAGCTGCTTTGCTAGCTGACGTGTTTCGGGGAATATACCCCCTTCCCCAGAGATTGCCTATAGCAGTCAACCAGAACTCCTATATTCTTATAGACTCCTATAGATTCCTATATTCCTCTAGACCCGCTCCTATACTCCTATAGGCTCCTAAAACCTCTATAGACTCCAGCTCTACTCCTATAGACTACTATATTCTTATAGATTCTTATTCCTATAGACTCCAATACTCCTATAGATTCCTATATTCCTTTAGACTCACTCCTATAGGCTCCTATACTTCTATACAGGTGAAACTCGAATAATTAGAATATCGTGCAAAGTTCATTTATTTCACTAATGCAACTAAAAGGTGAAACTAATATATGAGATAGACTCATTACATGCAAAGCAAGATAATTCAAGCCGTGATTTGTCATAATTGTGATGATTATGGCTTACAGCTCATGAAAACCCCAAGAACCCCAAATCCACAACCTCAAAAAAGTAGATTATTACATGCAATCAATAAAACAAGGATTGTACATAGAACAATATCGGACCTCTGAAAAGTACAAGCATGCATATGTACTTGGTTTGGGCCCCTTTTGCAGCACTTACTGCAATTACTTTTGCTTTATTCGAGTTTCACCTGTAGACTCCAGCTCTACTCCTATAGATTCCTACATTCCTCTAAACTCCATTATTCTTATAGGCTCCTATACTTCTATAGACTCCAGCTCTACTCCTATAGACTTCTATACTCTTATAGATTCCTATAATCCTAAAGACTCCAGACTCCTACCGGTATATATTCCTATACTCCTATAGACTCCAGACTCCTATGCTCCAGTAGACTTCTACACTCTTATAGATTCCTATACTCCTAAAGACTCCAGACTCCTAAAGACTCCAGACTCCTATAGATTCCTATATACCTATAGCCTCCTATACTCCTATAGACTCCAGCTCATATACTCCTATAGATTCCTATACTCCTAAAGACTCCAGACTCCTATACTCCTGTAGATTCCTATACACCTATAGCCACCTATACTTCTATTGACTTCAGCTTCTATACTCCTATAGGCTCCTATACTTCTAAAGACTCCAGCGTTACTCCTATAGTCTCCAGACTCCAAACTCCTATAGACTTTTATACTCTTATAGATTTCTATAGACTCCAGACCCCTATACTTCTATAGACTCCAGTGTTAATCTTTTGGTCTCCAGACTCCTATAGACTTCTTTACTCTTATAGATTCCTATACTCCTATAGACTCCTATACTTCTATAGACTCCAGCATTACTCCTATAGTCTCCAGACTCATATATTCCAATAGACTTCTATACTCTTATAGATTCCTATACTCCTATAGACTCCAGACTCCTATACTCCTGTAGATTCCTATACCCCTATAGACTCCCAGCTCCTATACTCCCTTTAGACTCCAGCTCCTATAGGCTCCTATACCTCTCTACACTCCAGCTTTACTCCTATAGACTGCAGCACATATACTCCTATACACTGCTATTTATACACTGTACTATAAGGTGAACCCAAAAGACCCAGGCCCTTGGACACCAAATAAAAGGGAAAGCCAATTGCTTGATTGAATCCTGACACACTTGCACTGTATACACACCCAGTATGTTATTCTTGAAGTAAAATCCCAGCTCCTTTGTTTTGTCTCTGGTACCTTTGGGCCTAGCCTTGCTCATTAAAATTGTCCTGCTGCTGGCCATTTTTCCACTGTGACATCTGCCCACCTGCACCATGGAAATGAATGAAGCTAATCCAGGAAGGATGGGAACCCTTCAGAAGAGGATGGACGCTCGCCTCCGTTCAGGCCTTCTCTACCTCCCAATAGTTGCCATGCTGCTGCAGCCGCAGATCCTGATGCTATGGTAGAAATGGTGAAGTGGGGGCTGAGGATGTGAAAAGGGGAACTCTGATGTAAAAGAGGGGGGACTCGGATAAGAAAGGGGGGCTCTGATGTGAAGGGTGGACTATGATGTGAAAGGGGGGCAGGGGGGTGGAGTTCTAATGTGAAATTAGTGGCTTCTAATGTAAAGGGGATTCCTGATGTGAAGGGAGGCATCTGATGTTATGGAGCTCATTATTTGATAGAGGGGGGATCCTGAGTAATGAGGGACTCTGATATAAAATAGGGGGGCTTTAATGTGACAAAGGCTAACAATGTGAAATGGGGACTCTGAAGTAAAGGGGGCTCCTGATGTGAAAGAGGAGGCTTAATAAAAAGTGGGCTCCTAATGTAAGGTAGGCTTCTCATGTGAAGGGGGCTCCTGATGTGAAAGGGGGTCCCTGGTGTGAAAGGGGGGCTTCTGATGTGAAGGGGGCTTCTGATGTGAAAGAGGGGCTCCTCGTGTGAACGGGGAATTCTGATGTGAAAGGGGTTTCTGATGTGAAAATGGTGCTTCTAAAGTGAAGGGGGGACTTCTGATGTGAAAGAGGGGCTCCTTATGTGAAGGTGGGACTTCTGATGTGAAAGGGACTTCTGATGTGAAAGGGGGCTTCTGATGTGAAAGGGGGGCTTCTGATGTGAAGGGGGGCTTCTGATGTGGAGGGGGGACTCTGATGTGAAAGGGGGACTATGAGGTGAATGGGGCCCCTGATGTGAAAGGGGAGATTCTGAGTTGAAGGGGTAACCCCTCTTTTTTGTGTATTTGCATGGGGTTCCACCTTAAAATCAAACCAGATCCCTATCTAGGATAAGTATCTGGTATGGATTTTAAAGGAGCCACACATCTTTTTTTTTTTTGTTTAGACTGGGGTGCCTCGAGATTTTGTATTCTTTTAGGGCCCATTCACACCAGACACAGTACGTTTCGGCCGGAACGCACTGGACCGTATTGCGGTCGGCTCACTTTGTTGTGGGGCGGGCGGTGCATTGAAGTGAATGGCAACGCAGCCACACCCTCTGCCCGCAATGCAATTGGCCTCACAAGAACGCGTGCCTGTGTTCCGGTCCGGTCACAAAAAATGCTGCAAGGCCTTGCTTTCTCGTGCGACCGATCGCATTGCGGCCAGAGGGCGTGGCTACGGTGCCATTGAGTTCAATGGACCGCAACGTCACCTCCCGGCCTACAACAAACTGAGCCGGCTGCAATGCGATCCAGCGCGTCCCGGGCCAGAACGCACTGTGTCTGGTATGAACGGACCTTTAAACGGTTGCGCAACTGAACAACGTTTGACAAACTCTGTTCAAACTAGGACATGGACGACTCCAATGTGCCTGCCACATTCCTTTTCTCTATTTTTACTTATATTTTTATGGTATTAAATACAAATCCTGCTATTTATACCTCCCATAAATAAAACCAAGCCGTCACTCCTGGCAGCTTTGTTTCTGGGAATGGTCCTCGATTACTAACATGAGTGATCCTGAAAAACTAAATATTTTTAAAGAAACATTTGGCCCGTCTCTGGAATTCTGAAAGGTATTTGGTAAATATCTATTCTTGGGCCCTTCGAAAGCTTTTGTCGGCCCCCAGTGATTGGTATGCACTGGCCTGTCTAGGCTGGAGGGCCATGTACACATCATACAGTAGAAGAAGCCATGTGCCTGCAGCTGACTCCAGCAGAGGGGAAGACTCCCAGGAATGAATGGAATGGGCAAGTGTACGTCGAGGAATCTTTGTCTTTTTGCATACCAGGAATTAGACAGTTTGTGTTTTCATCTGATCATATGTAATCACACTGAAATCAAAATTGCCGATATACTAACAGATAAACGGGCCATATACCAGGAGGATTTCATTCGCACTTCCATTCGAAATTTAAAAAAATTGCTCATCAGGACATTTGATGATGTCATCATTCTGTCGACTAATTTAATTCCAAAGCCCTTAAAATTTCGACCAGACCTCCTTTTGAATGGAATCCCAGATGTAATAAACGGGCTTAAAGGAGAACTATGGGGTTAAGGCTTTTCCTCATAGTTCTCCTTAGGGTAACGGGAGGACACAAACTAGCGTCCTCCCGTCACCCTAGGCTCAGTATACTGCGAGCTGTAGCTCGCGGTATACTGAAACGCCGCAGTATACCGCGAGTATATGCTGCTCGCGGTATACTGAGACGCCGCAGCTGAAGCGGATCCCGACAATTGTGCCGAGATCCGCCCAGCTGCATGACTGAGAGCTGGCTCTGCCTATCTAAAGGCAGAGCCAGCTGTACCCGCCCCCTCCCCCAGTCCCTCCCCTGTCACGGCAGAGAGCCGTGACAGGATCGAGAGGTGAGTGATGTGTTCGCTCACCTCCCGATCTACTGAGCAGACCTGTGACAGTCTCATTGTCACAGGTCGGCTAGAACTATGAGGTGAGTGAAAAGCACTCAACTCATAGTTCTCCTTTAATTTGTGCCTAAGGGCTTGTTCACACGTTTTTCTGGTCCAGATCCGGAGCAGATCTGCAGACGCGGTGCTATGCGTGCAGTGCGTTTTTGACGTGTTCCAGTAAAATAAAAAATTGAGTGAAGCTGTCAGTATGTAAGCTGCAGTGCGGTGTGTTTTCGTTGCATTTTTGACGCGTTCGTGCGTTTCCGGGCCATATCCGGACCAGACAAAATGTGCCATGCAGTATTTTCTCTGTCCAGAACGGACTGCGCACGTGAGAACTGTAGCCCATAAAACACATAGGGAGACATTGGGATGCATTTTGGGTGCAGGAGCGCACGGATCTGGTCCGAAAACAATCCAGACGTCGTGTGAACAAGCACTAAAACACAATGGGGGTATTTATCAAAGCTGGCGCAGACAAAATCTGGAGCCGATTTGCACTGCAGCCAATCAGCTTCTCTCTTTCATTGCTGTAGCGCTGTATGTCATACACAACTGGCTTTATATTACCAAATATCGCTTTCCCTTTTATTTCATCTTTAGTTGCATCTCCGTGCTGCTGATCTCCTGATCTTTTAGTCACTTTCTGTCTACATGCACTCACTCCTGTGCAGGGGCGTCCCGTGGCCGGTTGTCACCCGGTGTCGTCATCGCGGGTGATGGATGCCGGCAGAGAGGAGGGGACGTTCACCCGGGGGATGAAGTATGCCGCCGGGTGTCCCCCTCTCTCCTGTCGGGCTCTCGGTCCATGACCGAGTGCCCGACTTTTTAGAGGGGGTGACACCAAAATGACTGTCAGTCATTTTGGTGTCAACCCTGCAATGGTGTCACCCGGGTGCGCCTTGTGACGCCACTGCTCCTGCGTTGGCTTCATATCATTGCTCTGGACTGG